ATATAGCCAGAATAATTCTTCCTCCAAAAGAAAGGAGAATTAAGGTCAACATTCTAAGCTGAATATGCTTTTCACTCCTTGTTGTTCGACAGCAAGCAAAAAAGCAACGTTAACAGTAAAGAGTCCTACCTCCTTTTGCCTCTGCAAAGGGGGAATAGACTCTCTCGCACAACAGCTCCTATGAGGCATAATAACTTGTCCTTTCCTGTAGCAAAAAGCAACACACACACACACACACACACACACACACACACACACACACACACACACACACACACACACACACGCGGGCTCACACACACACACACACACGGGTTTCCCCCCCCAGTTTCATTAAATAAATTAATGAACCTGGATGAAACCATGACCAAAGTACTAAAACACATAGATGAAAATACATACTAAGATGATTCCCCCCCCCTTTCCAAGCCAAAAAGGCACAGGAACTGGGTAGGCTTTTGAGAGAATACTCTCTTTGTCAGGCAAATGTTGGAAAGAAGTAGGATGAGAGAAAGGGAAGGGGAAGGGGGCAAAGGCTGGCACTTAAATCCTTGCAGCCCACATGCCCTTACAGAAAGTAAGAGGGTTGCTGCACAAAAGAGAGATGGGTTTCATCAGGTGACAAAGGTGTTAGATGTCTTAGTCCAAGTTGGAAACTTTTGGCTCTCCATCTTAGAAGATAAAAGATCTCGCTGTGCACTCCCAGCTCAAAGTCTATGGGATGTGCTAAGTGGTACCTAACACTATTATTACCTGCCCTCTCGTCTGCAGCAATCCTCTGGTCTTGCCCCCTGTAATCAAATGCGGACAACAAGTATTCAAGATTCCATCTCCCTCCCCCCCCCAACACCTTTTCTCCTTTCCTGTCTGTCATCCTTTTACATTTTCCTGATGAAGATAATTTTTCTCTCAAAACTTTGCACAGTTGTTTCCACTTAAGTACACTCTCTGCGCCCATCTGATCAACCTAATAAAGATATCATTTAACTACATCTTCTGGAACTTTCTTTGTGCCAACACAGCTATCTCTGCTTTTATCAATATACCTTAGCATTTTTGCAGTGAAACAGCGCATTTCAGAGCCATCACAGTGGAAGATAGAGCAGTAGAAGGTTTTTTCCCCCAAAACTTTATTAAAATCAGTTATCATCAGCCTTAGCCAGAAAAGTAAATGGTGAGAGAAATCAGACTTGTAGTCTAACAACATTTAGGCTGCAAGGTAAAATCCAGCAACCATTTTGCATGACCAGCACTTCAGTGGAATATACAGAAATGGACAGCCTCAGGGTGTGACTATACATTGACAAAAATATGCATTGGTCTGCTGTGAATTTGCACCACATTTCCCAGCTAAATTTGCTTTAGCCAACCAGACAGGAGTCAGCAGAAAAATAGGAGAAAATGAGCAATCAGGCATTGTTTGCAGCTTGTTAAAGCGGCTTCTGTTGTATCTGTCCAGATTTGCAGGAGGTACAACTACAGCAGAGGTACTTTAACAAGGTGTGAACAAGTGCTGACCGCCAATTTCAATTCCTCCCTGTTTTTAGTGTCCTATGTGCTCTAGCACAACTTTGCTGTAACATTGGCACTAGGCCAGGAAGGAAGGAAGGAAAAAAGGAAGGAGGGAAATTAAGCAAAGATCTGACGTTTCCCTGACTAGATCATCAGAATACCTTGTAATCTGACACTTTGCAAGTGCCCCTTTGCTTCCTTCCCCCCCCAACCACCAGTACCCTTGCACAAACTTTTCTACATTGGCACAAACAGTCACACAAAATGAACTGATGGGAAAACAGGCACTTTCAAAAAACCTAGAGGCCCCAGTCACACACTGGGGGGAAACAACAGGCCAATTCTTTCTGACTTGTACAATACGTAGTTAGTGGGAAATAATACAAATCTGACCCTCCCAATCCCAAAGCATGTCCTGTGTTATTTTGTCAGTGGAATTGCTCCCTTAGCTGATTAAAATTTTGTTTAGGCAGAATCCTAGATTTCAGAGCATACGCAGTGGTCCTTGCAGAAAATGTGGTCCCTTGTAGAGCATTCTGGTCACATGGTCTGCATCCTTCGATAGAATAGAAGGAAAAGGAGGGTACTCTTCATATTAATAGGTATGATTTGAGCCTAAAGGAAGCCAGCCTCCTTGGGGTGGTTTTGACTAATAGGGAACAACACTCCGTCTTTGATGTACATTGTCAAGCTAGACCATCGGAAATGTCTTTTAACATGTATTTCCACCCTATTATTGAGTTCTCCTTTTCACAATAAGAGTTAATCAATTCAGTCCAATCACTCATTATAAAAATAAGATTAAATTGGTAGAAGCCACAGAATCTAAACCCAGGGATATTGGTCCACAGAGGAATATATGAATTTTTCACAGACCAATACAAAATACACACCTACTGTCCTCAATGCTCTTTCCTTTACTGTTCCTTTTATCCCAGGATGGCTACATATTCTTAGACATTTTTGGCATTATTTTTGCTGTCTCTCAATCTAATGTTGACTTTCCATGGGTCAACTGAGTCTTGCCACTGTTACCTATTTGCTACATGTATCATTTGTAGGGACTATGAAAGGCTTCATCTCCAACAATGGGTCCCCTTTATTATCCAATACAGAAGACATTCTATTTCATCCATAAGAGACAATGGTGTGACAGAGAGAGGCTCATATAAGCTGGGAAGAATTTAACCATTTGCTTTTTTACTGAAGTCAATAACTTCTGGCACCAGCAATTATTGACTAGTCACAAGTTTGCTTAAAGGATACCACATGACCTTTTGACCTAAAATGTCTGAAATGTAGCATTGCAAACATTAAAAAAAATGTAGTGGAAGATAGTAGAACTCTATTTGGCTGACAAAAGAAAGAACGTCGCATTTCCTTTAAATGGTAAGTATATACATGAATAGGCCTATCAATATAGTTGGCTTGGGACTGGGAGATATCTCCCTGAAATTCTAGGTGGGGAGATTCTCCTCTGCTCCATCCATGAACTGGCTCTCATATCAGTGGTCATTAGGTGTTTCTTAGTACTGCTAAATGGAGATTCCATGTCTAGGAGCAGTATACCTTGTATATCAAATATTATGGAAAAACAGCAAGGGCTGCTACTTTTCATGCAGGAAGTGAGACATACCTTCACTCATAGGAACATGAGCCTTTTTGATCCACCTGTAAGAGAAAAGAGTTCTCATCATGTTCAGAACTTGGGATGAAACCCTTTATAGATCATTATCATTTAAGACAGCTAAACGGGTCTTTGTGTCAGGGACATCCAGGAGAATCCAATTAGGCAAACACGTTTGTAATAAATAATAATGTATCGTCAAGCCAATTCAGACTTATGGAGACCTTTGCCAGGGTTTTCTTAGTACTGTAATATATTTTAAAATATATTGCATCTTAGGGCTTTTTTGTGTGTGTGTGTTACCTTGGCCATTTTAAATATTGAGAAAAACATTTAAAATCATTAGAGACAGATTTATCTTTTTAAAAAGACTATTTGAGAAAAAGAGTACCCAAATGTGACATAACAAAAGTTAGAGCGAAACCAACAAAGATGGAGGCATTTCATGATAAAGTTATCCATCACACACTGTGATAAACAAATAAAGTAGAATGATCATTGTCCTATACAGTACTGGATAGTACAGTACCGAACTATATGTAAGCCCACTCACTCAGCACAGCCTTTCTGTTGAACAGCATATTTTAATGACACATAACAAATATTTAGCTGGCATTTGAAACCGGTGATAAAACCTGCACCTTCATGTGCATTACTATACCACTGAATGGGATCTAGTCAAAATCATCCTTCTGGTAGTGCAAGAGATGAAAATATAAAAAGCTTCACTTCTGTTGGTGAATCTCATAGGACCATATAGTAATTTGTGCCTGACACCGAGAGGTTCAGCAGTGTCCTCTCAGCATTGGTGTGCCTCCCCCCCCATCCAAACATCCCCACAGGCGGTCTTGCCAAACCCATGCACCAAATCTCTCATTCAACAGATGTGGGTGTGCGTGCGTGTGTGCCTCAGTAGGGCTCTGCTTTCTCTCCTCCCTGTTTCTCTTTCTTTGGTTGGAGAGGGGATTTCACAGCCCACCCGCACTGTGGTGCTCGGCCTGTCCCAGGTTTGTGGGAGGAGCCCTGCTGTTTACAGCTTCCCCTCTACCCAGACATGAGAGGAAAGAGGGTGCGGCTGTTTTGAAGTGTTGGGAAGGAGAAAAAGGAGGTTTCTTTCCAGGAGCATAAATGAGTTCAGGCCTTGGAGGGGGGAGGTTAGCCTAGATACAGGGGGCGGCTGACCAAGCAGACTTCAGTAGAAGATGCCGTGTGAACATAGCAGTAGTAGACCCAGGGGAATAGTTTGATGTTTCTACTGCCTTGGGCTGCTGGATAGGCTCAGGCCTCTTA